CTATAGTTGCAATTTATTGGATTGTTTTTCTTTTCTTTTCCTTGTGTCTAAATTGAATGGAGGGTAAAATCGTCAAAAAACAGTGAAAAGAATGTTCAGCGCACCAAAACCCCAAAGGTAAGGGCATAAATGCCAAGAAATGAAAGGTAGGGGCGGTTTCCGAAATTCACCCCAAAGGTAGGGACGTTTTGTGCTAATTAGCCAAAAAAAAATCAGTTTTGAACAAGGTTTTATCAAATATTCTTTTAGCACAATGTATTCACTATAATTATTTGTTTTGTTTGAATGATTGTGTCGACAAACCATAGTACACTAATCGGTAGCCAATTCAGGTTCAATCGGACGCAATTCAATGTTTATACCGTTCCTTGAAACTCGTCTAATGCTTGTGATGTTCTAGCTAGAGATCTCATACCCTACTTTAGTCCAGCTTGGGCAAAAAGTTTTTGCAGCTAGCTAGCTACAGTTGATACTTTATGATTTAAAAGAGAACCATTTGAGAGAAAGAGCTGCTCAACCATGTTTAAGATCAATTGAAGATATTGGGTTGTTTAAGTAACTACTCTTAGTCATACAAGGGTCAAACACTATATCAGCTCAAACTGTATTTACTCAACTCATTCGAGTAATAAAGTGTGCAACTCCTGTCGTGATATCAAAGCACAACTCTAACGAGGAAAACAGTCCGATATCCCACCACCATGGTCGATGGCCAATCCCTTCCTGCAGGCGACAATCCCACGGCAATTGTTCCTTGCTCACCCAAAACATATCCTCATCATACCAGCAAATATCGAATACAGATGTTAGAAATTCTTGTTGATAACATCCTTTGAAGGAATGCCTTTGAAGGTGCATAAAATTCCTAGTTTCTTGGATTATATAAACCAACTTTATGTCATATTTTACAATAATGTTATTATAATGTACGAAAAAGCATTTAGCTAGGTAACTTTTGCATCAAATGTCAAGTAGTCGACAAACTTCGGCTGCAATAAAGCACATCTTGCTATGTTTTACCTATATAGACAATGGAACCATCATCTAGTAGCGAGATTTGGTCGACTTACATCAAAGCAAAATCAAGATTGTAGATTGATCATTATTTTCTCAAAATGTTTTTTGAGCTTTATCACAATTCGATCATGGCCTATTAACATTTTAGAAAACTATTTGATTCCTTTGATTAAGCTAACCGAAAGGAAAATTCAAAGGAAATGGTAAGAAAGATAAATATATATATAGCAGCATGTCTCTGATCAGTCTTGTCCATTACTTCCATTCCAGTTCTTGATGGCATCTGAAATTGCCTGTTTCACCATTTGGGCATTTATGTAGTTTTCTTCATCTTCTTCATTCTGCAAGAAATCAAGACATTGATCGGTAAAGGGTGTTCGATTTTATTCAAAAATGTCATCCTTCATTATTGATAAGATTTTGGGTTTCATCTTAAAATATCAACCTTATTAACAGGAGTAACTCAAACTCTTATAAATTAGTATATATATCCATCTTTATTCGATGTGAGATTTTATCCCTTAACATGTCATCCTCAAGATGGTGACTCGTTTGAACAGACCGATCTTGAAATCCGTGTGCTCAATTTTCTTAGTTTTAATCGGATCGAATTGTTCGTTGGAGTTTAACGTGACTCTGATGTCATATTAAAATTTAGGGTTCTATCTTAAAATGCCAACCTTATTAAGAGGCGTAACCCAAACTCTTATAAATTGATCTATATATTCATCTTTATTCGATGTGAGATTTTATCTCTTAACAATTATCTCTGACATCGACAGAATCCAAGAGCTTAAAGTGACGTATGTTTGTTTATTTTTAATATGCAACTAACACATGATTCATGTGAAAGTAGAATTTCTCATGCCTAGTAGTCTTGAGATTGTTTGATGATATATACATACATCTTAAAATGAAAATTAAAATGTAATGAAATCGAAAAATTCTTACTTCTCCTCCTCCAAATGCCTGTAAATGAAAGCTATCTTTACAAGAAACCCTCGCTTCAAGAACATTGAGACCAAGCTCCTCAAAAGCTTCCAATATGGAAACAAGCAATCCAGAGCAACTTTTTGCTGAACAAACATTCACTAAGAAGCCCTTTTCTAGGGTTTCTACGGTAACTTGCTGCACGTAAAACATGTCAAAAAAAAAAGGCTCTTAATTTTACTCTTTCTAGGTAAAAAGTAAATAGAAACAAGGAAAGTTTCAGAGTATTACAGGCCACAAGTGCTGGTTGCTCGAGCTTGCTACATCTTTATTCAATCTTTCTACTTTCTGCTTTAACTCTGTAATATAGTTGGATGCATCTACTACGATTGATGTATCATTAATCTGACATAAGTAAACAAATTAAGAGTTAGAATTATCTCTAAGAAGTCTAAAATATAAAATATCAAGCCTTAAAAAATTTTGGACTTGTTTCTTCATAGTTAATTGAAAGAATCTGGGATTCATCAAAATGAAAACCAGGAATTTATTCAATAGAACATATGGATAGCGGGAGAGAGCCTTAATTGAACAAGTGATTTTCGAATATATATATATAAAAGGTTTTTCATCAGATGACAATCCGATTATATAAAGTAGATGTGTGTGTATATATGTGTGCTCAAAATGGTGGAAGAGAACCAAGTAATGGCTGAAAAGTGCACAGTGCATTTACTGCATGAGAATTAGTGATGGAACGAAGAAGCTGCAGCTTATCATGCAGTGAGTCTCTCTTGGGCTCTCTAGAATCCATGGTTTCCAGTTCCACCTCTCTGTTTACAGATTGATTCTGCCTCTCTCTCTCTCTCCCCCCTTTTTTCTTCCTATCTATTCTTCTTTGTATTATTTTCTGTAAGTTCTGAAGATGCAGCCTTTTAAAGAGGAGATGCTCTCAAATCAATGTCATCTCTTGTTTGCTTCCCACATGCCCGCGGGCGTCCGTTTCCTATCAAAAGATATCGAATTACACTAATCGGAATACTAGGATAAATCTTGTGAAACTACTAGGTTGCCCTTTCTTTAACTTCATTTTTTGGTTTTTACGGAGTTCGTGATAATGTAGAGGGTACTAAAGAGGTGACAATTTAGTTGGGACGTTCAGGTGACCTACTAATTCTTATTTCGAACTATCTTATGTAGAGAACAAACAAAATTTATTATTTTCATTAATTCATTTTGTTAAGATGCCTAGAAATGGTAGAGAAGAAGGTAATGCATACACGTATGCTTGCTGCTAGGTAGTTTTAGTTTTTTAGCTGATATTCTATTTCTTAATTCTTTATTTATTCATTTTTTCCAATGTTATACAAAATTGAGACTTCTTTTGTAAATATATATCAAAAGTCCCATTCTCCACGAGAGTGAAGAGAGATAAGACGGAGCTATTAACATCTTGAAAGATGCATCTCGGCTTCCTTATATGTCCCAAAAAAGAAAAAATAAAAATAAAATAGAAAACAAAAATGTCAAATACTTACCTATCTTCAATACAAAGTAGCTATCAAGAAAAAAAAAATTAGGGCGTGGTCGGTAGAGATTAAAATTGAAAAATTAACCATTATTGTTGACTTTTATTAGATGAGTGAGACCCATTAACGACTATATTTTCAATTATAATTGAATTTTAATCGCTCTCAAACATACTCTAAAATTAACTGTCAATTTTAAATCATAAAATAAAATATAATGTGTATAAGCCACCACAGACGTTAATCATGAGCCGTAGAAACACTTCAATCAACTATGATGATGAGTATTACTAGAGCACATGAAGTGTAATTCTTTAGCTTTTACAGTATTCTCCATCTCCGAACATATATAGCAAGTTAATTTTGTATCAGCCAGTCCGAGTAAACCTATTATAAATGGAGATATTCGTCATTATGGATAGAATGGTAAAAGCAAGTAGAAAGGACATTAATTAACAGTTTAAGATAGTTAATATATATATATATATACAGAGAAAAAGAGAAAGAGGGAGGGGAATGAATATATGACGAGCTCGTGATCATGGCTTGGATTGGAAGGGTGAAACATATATGAATTATTATGGTCATATATTTGTTTGTATACACTATATTATCGAAATAAGTGAAGGAATGCGTCAAAAAATAAAATGTTTAATTTGTGAAAATATTGAGAAGCCTCCAAATACTCCTCACGGGGAATTTGGAGCTCCTCTCGAAAACAGCCGTCACCTTTGTCTTCTCTTTTCCTCTCTCTTTCTACACGTGCTATCTTCCATCAACCTTCATCAATATTATTAAGTATAAATCTCACTAAGTACCTACCCTTCCGGACCATGGTAAAATCTAGGTCACCCCATGACTGTACATATTGAAGAGTTGGTGTCGGAAAATTATGACGTCGTACTAGTCGAGTTTATAACAACTCTACAACTTACGTTTTCAAGGTTAGAAGTACTCTAGAATAAAAATAGAAACAGTGATAAAATTGAATTAATAGAGTGAATCTCTAACTCATCACTTCATGTATCTAATTGACCTTCACAGAGATGACTACCTTTGTCTATCTTCACGAAGGTAAATGGGAAAACATCTAGTCAACCAAAGGGTTTTTGTTAAAATCGAAACAGTGAAAATCCATAGTTACATAGAATTCTCAACATGAAACAACTCATATCAAGCAAATGGACAACAATGGCGTGGCCTATGTCTCAATATCATTTTTCTTTTTGACTAGAATCCGAATTTGCAAAAAGAAAAATCAGACCAGAAACGATTTCATCGTGTCTTGTCTATATCATAGTTTATCCTAAAATTAAGAGAGATGATAAGATTTACTGCAGTAATTAGCTCTATACTATTCAAGAGATACATAGAGTTGGACATGACCGCACACAAATATGTCTCACGCCTCACTTTTGTAATTATTTGAATTAAGTTTTACAGATCGAGTAGGGTTTCGAGTTTACCACATAATTTCTTTGATCGTACGACAACAACAATACAAAATAACTATATGAAACATTTCAAATGAAAAACTTTAGTGATGTTAACGTGTGAGGGAGTACACTGTACACTGTAGAACTCATTAGCATAGGATGATAATAAATATAATAATATAATAAGGATTAGTTATTCTAATCATTCGATTAAGGATTAATTATTAAGGAAGTGTAACGAAATGCCCGTACCTCACACTTGAGAATCGTGCTACAACTACTACTTCAAAAATATACCCATATATTTTTGTTATTATAGTGAGACATTTGTACTATACTTTATGACGTACTAGAGCAAGTACACGAATATTTATTCCACTAATTAGATTTGAGTAATATGGAATTGATCGAATATACCTAGGTCACTTCGCTATGATGAAGCTATATGAACTTCTCGAACTTGGGAACCAAGATAAATTTACTCAATCCCTTCAAGTGTTGAGTCTTAAAGTGAACTCGAATTGAAGAAACATACGATACACTCATGGGCGAATAATCATGAGGTATGATCATGTCGCATAAACTTAGTTCCTTAGCTTTTATATTGCCATCATCGTTCGAGACAAGTTGTTTTCAATTGCTACTTTAGTTGGAGTTCACAAGGAGCCCCCTTCTAACATATCCGATTGACTTTGCATCGTAGAATCTCATCATACATAATAATTATTGAGATATCATATCATAACATATGAATAGTAAGACCCACAACTCATCGGCTACCAAATATTTAGCTACCTAATATTTAGAGATCCTTTCTCTAAACCCACACGTGTGTAACTCGACTATAAAAATATATGAACCCATATTTTTCCACCACGGCATGCAATTCGTGTCATTGAACTCATCGACATTGTTCCGTTTCTATAGAATTTTTAATTTTTCATTATTGAAGAATATACCACCTAGCGCAGTTTTAAAAAGGCCGTTAAGGAAAGAATTTTTTTTTTTTTTTAATGAGCACGCTATTAGAGGCATGTTCAATACTTTATAGTATGCCTTACCAAACAAATGAGTAGTAAATTAAGCTATCATTATATATTAGAACATGCCAACTCATATATCAAGTAAACATAACTGGAATTATAACACAATTATTTTAAATATACATACACATTGTGAGGTGACAATATATCCCCCATATAAATCAAAATTTAATTTTAATTTCAAGTCAAAGTAAACAATAATTTTAAATTATATATTTCATAAAATTTACAACTTTTCAATCATATAATCTATCAAAATCTACTCATCTGCACCAGACCTGCGCTATATCACGAGACATTATCAGTATATATATAAAAATTCCAACATATAGACAGTTGGGTATTGTAAGTTGGCATAATACCTTGCTCGAGACATTGTCTTCGTTCCTCAAAGACAAATCATGTACGTACCCACCTATTCACATGTTCCCTCTTTAATCATTACAACAAAACAATACACTCCATGCATTACTCTGCTTCAACCTTGTCTCGTCTTTCCAGGAAATATTTATTTATATGGTTCTTATTTGATTAATTAATTAGGTTTTGTATATCGTAATTAAACTTAATTTTTAATGAGCATGACTTGAAAAAGTTCATGGTTCCATGCCTTTGATTGGCCTTTACCAACATGCATGTTTTGCATGGTGATGACTTTTTTTGCTAACAATTATTGTATTAAAGAAGAAGTGCATAATGATTCAAGGCATCAAGCCTTTGAGTATTGTTATCTGTTATCATAACTTGTTATGGGGTATTGTTAAAGATTCTAAGATTGGATTAATTTTTATCTTTGTTTATTGGGTTTAGGTTTCGTGTCAAAAGTTCAACTTCATTAGAAAGAGTAGAACGAACCTTATATGTTGATTAGTATTTGTGCACTTAATTAGTGTGGAATTTTATCAATATTATGCTATAGCAAGACATTGACTTCATTTGAGCTTTATCAGATCGAATTGTTTTTTTGAGTTTATTGGGTTCTGATGTCATTTGAGCTTTGGGTTTCATTTTAAAATATCAATACTAACTTTACTAAGATAAGTAGTCGAGTCTCTTGGTTAGTAATTATAAATTCGATCAATGTGAGACCATTATTTATAATTAAACTTCAAATTATACATATATATAGTTAAGGGTTTCGAATTTGTTAGACCACATCTACCATGTTTAAGGTTTTGACTAGTGTTATGGAGTTTTGAAAGACGAGAACGAATTGGCGATGAGCCTGTGTTCCAATTTGTAGTCAAGAAGATCTTTTACGGAATAAGATCGAGGTTGATAGGTTTGCTTCCATTCTTATTGCGACAGAGATATTAAGCCCCCGTTTAGTACTAATTAAAATTCAGATTTTAAGTCAAATCAAAATCAACAATTAATTTTAACCACATATTTTATAAGTTTCATAATTTTTCAACCACACATTTCATCAACTTTTATTTAAATCTACTAAAAATCTGATTTTAATTCAACCAAATAGGGGCTAAAGTAAAGAGTGTTTCGTTTATCTACTAAATTCACTTTTAATGACAATAACTTCAATAATACAATACCCATTGCAATGAATGTTAAATCTACATCCCTTCATTTTATTATCTTTTGTCCTTCTATGGTTAGTACATATATTGTATCGACTCTCAAACACATAAATTCCTTTACATTATGAATGTTATCTTTGTAAAGAGTAGTAATGGAATATTGGATTCGTTGAGAATTACTCACGTGAGTTGCTCTTCGGAAAAGTACATTCACATGTAAATGTTACAGTTACAAATCAAAAATAAATTATTATTTTATAGATAAAGTGAG